GCACGCAGGAAGAAAAACGAGTCACTGAAATTTCTAATCTCTTCTTTACCCTCTGCATACATGCAAATGCATGTGCAGATATAAAACTTTTCCAGATCTCTCATTAAGATGGAATTTAATTTCACATTCTATTAAGTTAGATGTTAGCAGTCATTAGTTCGAATTAGCTTGAATTCGATATCAAAGAATTATGCAAAAATTCATTGATTTGAAATTTACTCCCTTTCAAATTGCGAGCGTTGTGTTTATGTTTACGGGTGTGGGTGTGGGTGTGGGGTTGGGTATGTATGATGACTAAGATTAGAAAATCGCTCAATCACTACTCTTTTTGAACCCATCTAATGTACAAATTGCATACATATATATATATATATATGTATACAATGTTTGCCTAAGGTTATCAATGATATTATTTAATATGCAACATGTTCTTGGATTTTCTGAGGAATTCTCACTCAAAGATAAAGTTTCCTCTATATTATAACATATATATATATATATATATATATACACATGATAGAAGAGGAGAATGGTATTTATTACATAAGAGATTGGCAAATACATTTACATCCTTAAATATTTATTTTCAAACAAAAATATTTGAAACACCATGCAAAAGTATTTATCTCTATATATATATATATATATATATATATATATATTAACAAACTGACTCTTCTTCTTAGAACTTCAATTGAAAGCATCGCCTAACAGCATTGACTTGATTGAGGCTAAGGCAGTTGGATAATAAAGGAAAAATGAAAAGACGTTTGGTTACGAGGGCGAAAGAGAAACAAAGTTTCGATTTTTCCTAACAATTTTTATTTTCTATTTTATTTTCCATTTTCCTTAAACAGTTCACTTCAGTTCATTTCTCTTGGGGTAGATTTTTAAAGAATTTTTAATAACATTTAGTGGTAATTACAAACAAACGAATAAGCCATATATAATAATTTTGGTGAGAACTAAATGTGCGACTGACAGTTCACAAAATTTCTATACTCACATTTCTGCAATTGGTTGACAACGACTTAATATTGCATTACTTATATATATATCAGTTTTCCATCCTTAAGCTGTAGTTGACCATAATAGAAACTGAGGGGTTTTGCTTTAATAATTGTTGCTCAACTAACTTAACATCGCTGCTACGAGTTTTAATGCTTAAGAAAGTTGAAATATTTCCTGACTTAAACAACGTTATTGATTACATATTGTAATCAAAGACAGGCTTACAGAAGTCTTTAAACTTGCCAATGTACAGCGTATATGAACTAATATTGACTACGTATTAGTGCACGGGATCTAAAATTTCAGCAAGTTTCAGTCAAAAAAAGGGAAAGGGATACTTGTGACAGTAACGTCTTTCCCTTCGTCTATTATCCGACGTTTATTTAAAGTGTTGACACTTGACATTCTCGCTTCTCACGGACATCTTGCATAACTTCGTCTAGTACAATTACGTATTCGTTTTGTTAATAATGCACCAAAACTTACGCATTATTTTCGTACAAAGGCACAAAAATTTTTTTCATGAAAGCCCGCACATTGAGGCATGCCCAAGACATCACATGCCATCATCCAAGTTTGGCAAACTTAATTTATTTACTAAAAATTTTATTATTTTCCAATTACCGCCATAAAAAGCTAGAAATTAAACCTTCTCTACCCCCATTATATGTTAGTCAGGTCTAAATAGTAAATCTATGTGATTCAAATGTTCTATCGTTAATTGCTTTGCCGAATTGCTACCAAGGATCAATTTTCATAATAAGATATGGAAAATTAAGTCGCTTTCTGAAAGGCTTACTATTCGTGGGAAATCTTATAGGAAATGGGATCCAAGAAATAGACCCATATGGTTGAAATTGGTTCCACTTAATTTCTATATCAAATTACTGCTATAAACCAATTTTCGCTATGAAATTTAAGAAACTTGACTTTTTATCATAAAAAGACAGAGTCTTCGAAGGAACAGGTGGTTATATGAGAAGAAGTTGCAAAAATATCCACAACTGAACAAAATCACTCAGCAACAAGGCATTATATGAGCAGTGAGTAAAAAACTCCGTCAAACCGAACCATTTTTAATAGCGCTCGTCCTTGGGCTAAAGCATGTCAGTTTACCGAATTTCATCGAAATGTTTCCAAAATTGCGATCTGTAAGTTGATGCAGATGGACTGGTGGACAGACGGACGGACAAACTGATATCTATGTAATAAAATGTAAGTCTATCTTAAGTCCTTCTAAGTATTATAGATATCCGCACAAACATTATATAACTTGTATCAAAAGCGGTGTAGGCGGTGTGTAATAATACTCATCCTCAAATTTTGAAATGTTCTCCCGCTTTTTTGGTAAACTTCGCAAAAGTCACTTACATTATTTGAAATAAGTTTGACATGAATTAGCTAAACTATAATTTCTTTAAAGTTTTCATTTATATTAACCGTTAATTTCTCCATGAAAAAAATAAAATCACACATCTTTTATCACATTTACAAGCTCATGCCGTCAAAACCCATAAATTAAAATAATTTATCTACTGGTTTAGAGAAACAATTGCTAAATGCATCGTTTCAGTTAATAATGATTTTGTGCGTACATCGCAATCTGTGCTCGCAAAGTAATTACCAAAGATATACGTTTAACTGATCACATATACAGACCAGTGCTTCCAAAGTCATTGAACTGCAATCATTAGATTAACCCAATATTTGAGTATTTACACTATGTACTTTGGAGGTGTAAGTGGTTCACGGTGGTGGTTTATTAATATTTGCGATGAAATCTGATCACATCCAAATGTTTTCGAATTGGTTGTTCAAAGTACATTTATGATTCTGATCGATTTTTGAGCCAAATATCGGAACTATGTTGCTCTACCGCCAAGTCAATGGTTGGACAAATATATTCAGTTTTTGACTTTATTAGACTTTTACGCCTTCGAGAAGTCTAGCATCAATGCAGAGGAAGAATTATAAGAAGACGAGGAAGCAAAGGGGTAGTTCATGTCTATCTATGAACGACATGAAAGTGGAAACATCTGGTAAGGTAGCACAGCCTGCTGCCGATAGATACAAATAAAGGATGTTATCTATAGATTGTGGTCATGAAAGGTTATAAATAGAAAGTATGTTGCGCGATCTACGACGAAATTCAGGCCAATCGAACAAGGAGGCTGAAGACGCCGACTAATTCTATTAAAGGAATTAATTTTTTTTTCTGTACAACATTCACAGCTTACGTTACGTTAATTGTCGAGGGCGACGAGATTGCTCGCAACATGGAGAGCATTTGCGTTTTTCGCTCGACGCAAAGTCTCGAAACTCTTGCTCGGACGCGCCAGCGCGCCAAGCGCTTTAAATGATGCGGATATCGGCTGCAGTCAAGTATATATTGCATCACTTTAGAAAACCTAAATCTTTGTCTCCGTCTTTCGGTATTTCAAATACGTATTCCGCGGGAAGGACGCGATTTCGTATTCCAGTGCCCAAAATATCAAAAGTCTGCCATTGCTGTTGAGGTTCTCAAGTAAAAGTAAAATATTTATATGTGTTTTTTTCTTTTCTTGTTCGTCTTCTTCTTTTCTTTTATTATTCAAAAATTAAATTTTTCACAACAGATAATAAAGTGACATAGGAGAGATAATATAATTAAATTTTTGTTATTTTGTTTTTTGACATTTTATAAATTTTTCTGGTTTGCGTTTTTCTTTTCATCAAATTTTATAAGCTTTGAAACTAAACTAAATGAAAGATATTTGAAGCTTTTCTTTCCACAACAACGCATTAATGTACAAAATTCCGTATCGCTGTGTTATGAATTTGAGAGAGGCATTCAACCGGCATGACTCTTAAATATCGAACTTGAATAAATTCATCTTTTCAAGAGCATTGATTACACACTTCGCATAAATATCTATAAATCTCGTTAGATGTGCGTTCAAGTCGCCGATGTCCTTACTTACGCTTTGTGGATCACTTTCATACCGTCTTCCAATTCAATTAGTTTTTGCCTACGGCCGAGTCCATTTGTACACCTAAGTCCATTCTTAGCTGTTATTGCTTACAAAATTTTCAACACAAAATAATTATAGAATCTTGATATCAGTTTTATAGATCACAGACTTGACATTGATTTTTGGATATCAGGTTTCAGAACTTTTACTACTTTACGCATTATAACAGCCGACGAACTAGAATTTAATGCATCACTCAATAAGACTGCGGACGACAACATTGTTGACAGACTCATACGAGTCGTGGATAGTATAGCGCGTCAAATTATTATGATACTCTGAGAATCAGTTTATAGCCTATGGCCGATTTTTTGTGAGAAGAACTATCAAACCACAAGAATGTTAAACACAAATATCTAAGTAATCGGATGGACAGACATGCCTAGATCTATTTCGAATTTCTGATTGATGAATAGCATTGGGAAATAATATTTGTATTAAACAGTCGCTAAAACAATTTTTTAACTTTTACAAGCGTTTTAACAAAACGAATTTGCGTCCATCCTTCGAAGGAACCTAGAAAAATGAATGCAGCAAATACATAATCGCGTTTTTATTTAGCAAAAAAAAAAAAAATTTCACTTGGATACAGTACACCCACCACGTATACTAGTTTCCTAATCGAGACAAATGTGTTTGCTTTCTAGATTTTTACACAAGACATTATTGACATAAGAAGTACTCAAGTTAAGTGAACGTATCTATATGGATATGTTATCGTTGGTAGAATTTTCATTTCATATTAATGGCTGCTCTCTATACACATTATTATTTTTAATGATACCAAATAAATTTCTGCATTTCGTTATTATTCATGTATGTGTGTGCGATTAACGAAAAATGAAATTTTTCTTTTCATATTAAAGGTTATACATATAAGTAAAACAAATTGTATGTATGTATTTATATATGTGTACACAAGAAAGTTAAGTGCACATATATCAACGCATTTTGATTCTAGTCTACTGTTGTACTTACCAAAGCATAAACGGCAAACGGCATCACAACGACTGCTACCAGCAAGTCCGCTATAGCCAATGAAACAATAAAATAATTCGTAACCGTTTGCAAAGAACGCTCACGGAACACTGATAGTATCACCAGAATGTTGCCGAATAATGTGAAAATTGGAAATACGATTAGAATAAGTGCCCAATAATTTCGTGTCACTGTAGCCATATAATACAAAATTGTGATAAAGAAAGAAAGAAAGAAAGAAAGGGGGAGAAAAAAAAAAACACCAAAGAAAAGAAACGATAAGAATAGAGAAACAATATTAAGACGAGTAGTGCAATTTATAAAATTTGTTACTTCTTTATGAAAATGATACAATTCGCCAAAAATTATTCATATATAAAATATTTCATATTTACTGCTATATTGTCTACATACATATACGTATACGTAACGTAACGTAACGTGACAATGCGTATTTCACAACACAAGCAAATATAATTTATTGCATAGGCCAATAAGTCATAAGTTCAAGTGATGTTTACGACGAGCCAATGTCATATAATAATCGAAATAAGATTCGCTTAGCATATGCTGGGCTATCGAAATATTAGAAAAAAAATAAATAAATAAATGAAGAAAGAATAACGGGAAGAACACCACCATCACCATCGCCATTGCAAAGCAATGCTATCTATCGCAATTCAGCAAAATCGGGTAAAATATTTGGTGAGCCACTTATCCATGAACAAGGTTTAAATCATTCGACAAGCAACGATTATGCACAGCAATCGCCTTTTACCTTCGATTCCTACAGATTTCTCTTTGCATCATCATTTAATTCACAAGTTCAAACTACATATGAATATTTGCAATTGGATCGGCGATTACGGTTTTCATGCGACTGCGGAAAAATTTGAAAATTGCTTCAAACAACCCGAATCCCTAAGCGGAAATCCCGCATCTTGGACAGGAAGGAGTCAATTGAAAGCAAAACTTGAACCTGCGTGCATGCGTTGAGAAAGTATGCAAACGATTTCAGAGCAGTAACAGTAACACTATCACATTTCATAATGTCTTGCACTCAAGTTTATTGAGATCTTGCATTAACAATTAAATTTTTTCCCATCTTTTGTTATTTTTTATATAATACGAGGTACGTAGGGTGAACCAGTAGGGTAGTGAATGATAAAAATGAACTGCGAATGGCCGAAGAGCAAAAAAGCCTGTTGAACAAGTTGAAAGACGCATTAACATAATTGATAAATATATATGGCGCTCCTCTACGAACTGTGAAGAACACGTTATGACCTACTGCGACATAACAAACCCGTCGTTCACTCAGGAACGCTGAAAGCAATGGCTAGTGAATTTGGGCCGCGTCTTAATGGAAAGCTGGCCTCAATACGCAAAGGTATTATGGGATATTAAGGGGTTGGTCCCCTTGCTTCCCTCTCGCCAATATTTCTAGTCCTTTTTTGATGACCCGACGTGTTCGAGTATCACTTGGATTCCTATGGCGATACGCGAGAATAGGTGCTTTAGCAAATAAACTTTAAGTACACATGTATCCTTTCGACTAAAAATTTATATTCTTTTTTTTTTCATTTTTTTTTTTTATAACAGTTAAACTTTATTAAGAAATCGATCCAATTTTTTTTTTAGTGATAACATAACTCTCTCCAACGGACTGCGATTCGCCTAAGTGGCCGGGTAGGCAAAGGATGTGGACTTACGATTCAATGGTCGTGGGTTTACATTTTAAGTGCAATAGAGTTTTCAATAAAACCGATTGCCTTAGATCCTAATTCTTTATCCTTAGGCTAAATTAATTATAACAATAACAATTATGAACAACAGGTCTGGGCCGAAGGTACTCTATTAACTTTCCCATCCATTTAGCACTAACGTTAGTCAATCATAATGCAATGAAACCATTCAAAACTTCTCTCTCTGCATTTAGCATCCAATGTGATATCCATCGAACTTTGCCACATCCAAGTTCATATTTTCATTTCTTTTACTTAATGCAGAGTTCTGCAGAATGGTGTCATGCTGACTACAAAAAAGATCTTTGAATTTTACTTGGTTCAGATTTACGCTCAGAACTCCCAGATAATTGATTAAAAGTTTAATGAAATTCATTTAACATATAAGAAAAATCTGTTGATGGAAAAAAAAAAGAAAAGAAAACGCTACCAACTTTTTCCTTGGTTCGACCAATGCTTAAAATACGAGAAATCGGTGCAAATCCTCTAAACAAAAGATTCCCTTCAAGCTTTTAGAGGAAGGTGTGTGAGGAATTAGACATTTTAGATTAAGATAATGAGTCGAAGCGTAATTTTCGCAAGTTTGCCTTAAATTGCTGAAAATCGCAAAGATTTAATCAACTTGTTTAGAATAGGATCTGACTACAAGTTCACAAACAATTACGTTTTTTGCGTATTTCTCGCATTGATTTCGGTAAAAAAATCAAAGAAACTTTATTTCGATTTGTGAAAATGACTCAAACTACACGGTGATGTCGATAGCAAGTCTACGAAAGTTGTTGCCGTGCAGTTATTGACACACAGACCCGAGACTTATGAATCGGCACAAGTGCTCCTCAATTAGTTTAGTTTAGAAAAATAAGCTTCGTTACCATATGCGTAAAATTTATGTGGTACACTGTTCGTCAGTCTCTGCGTCTTTCGGCAGAAATCTCTGCCGTAAACGTTACAACAAACTACTAGTTTCGCTTCATCTCTCGATATGTGTGTATGTAACAGGCAGTTGAATTTGTGAAGAGATAAAGAATTCTTTTCCCTTTCGTCATAACTTTTTATTTCGGGTAACATCATTTTTATTAGGAACGATTTAAAACTTTGACAATCTATATATATATTTTTCCACTAATTATTAAGGTGATACAGTCTCTTAAATTATTAACGGTGAGGCAAATAAAAATGTTAATGTGTAATTGATGCTAAATGCGATATGCATTGAAACTTAAATATAGTAATAGATATTTAAACTTAGCTAAGAGACGAATGAAACTTTCTTACTTCCTTTTTTTAAAGACGAAAGCATTTCGAAGACTTTTCGTTGTTTTAACGACTTTGCATGAAAATGTTTACATAACTTGCCTTTTAAACGAAAGCACTTTAAATAGTGCACATTTTATACGCACAAGCGCAACATGAAGGTATATTCATGTTGTCATAATGTTCGCAATACCTGGGAGTATGCTTCAGACACGCCATAAGCATATTTATTCTCAACAAGAATGTCTGTCTATCCGTCTTTGTAATATTCTTGCAAAACCGTACTTCGGACAGCAAGATTACGATTCCAAATTTGGTGAAAAATATTTCAGATTCTTGCGCAAAAGTTTTTATGAAAAATGGATTAAATCGTATGATGGATACACTGACAGTGCAACGTAAAGTGCAAACACGAGATACTTTCTAAATAAATTTACTCACTAATTAGAAATTGCTGACTAAAATTGAAGATGATTAGCCACGCCTAATCAATATAAATTTACTTGTTTCTCGTGATGAGTATAAAATATTCGTTTATTGCCGAATATAATTCTGCTTAGTTTTTAGTTTTTAACATCATTTTAACTGAAACCTTGTGTAAAATTTTATGAACAGGTAAGCCAGCAGAACAAAAAAAAAAAAAAACAAAAAAAACAACTTAGCAAAGAAAACAACTAAAAAGAAGTTATATCTTTTAACTTTCCTACGAATTATTGTCAGCAAGAAATGAATTTCGGTTTTTTTACATTTCTTCCGTAATCTTCTTACAAACATATTTTTCGTTTTAGGAAAAGTAAAAGTAAAGGTTAAATGTCTGGAAACTTTTTTTGTGGATTAGAACATATTCGTTAAGATAATCGAATGCAAATAGAAACTGCATTTAGATTGCGTCAAATAAAAGCGGATGATGATCTCTCTTTAGTTTACTTTTTCCTTCTTTTTTTTGATACATGATCCTAATTACTATTTAAATTATGTCCCGTATGCAGTCAGGAAGGGTCATAGGAAGGGAGGGTTGGAATGGGCGAATATGAAGATATAAGGTACCAGGCAACTGCTAGTAGATTGTTGCAGCGGCGGGCACTGCGATTAGCGGTAGTATGTTGTACCATGTACAGGTGATTCTAGGATGAGTGGCTGGGAACGCTGCCAAAAACTTTGTGATCCTTTTAAAGGACTCTATTAACGTTATAATCGGGTAAAATCTCTACCATCAACTATCTAACGCCCATATTTGGTCCGATAAAGTTTCCGAAGAATGGACCAATATGTAAATTTATACCGCAAGTCAGGGTTATCCGGCCTAATTTTCATTACAAAGTGCTCTGAAAAGGCTTTGGAAAATGTTCATACTTTAGCTATATTTTCTACCTAAATCTAATATACTAATATATATATTGTATACATATTAACAAATAAGAAAATGAAAGATGATCGGGACCGACTCTTTTATACCCATCGCAGTTTACCCCCAAAAAAAAAAAAAAAAACAAAAGAAGTAAAAGAAAAAACGTTTCATCCTCTATAACATGGAGTGGACGCAATTGATTTCTTCTATTTTCAAAATAAGAGTTTTTATCGTAGAGCCATGTGGAAATTGTAGGCGTGTCCTTTGAAAAGCTTAGGTCATTTTCAAATTCTTTTGCGATATCGTCATTTTCGTTAACGGGAGAATGTTCAACACAAATACTGCAAAGTTGCGCAAAGTGACAGATGGACGGATGAGCAGCTTGGTTAGGTGCATTCAAGATTTGAAACTAGGCATGAATTTGTATAGTTTATGGAGTTTTCGAAGCTTGTTTTTGCGCGTTATCAAGATATTGAAAGAATAATTCAATTTTGATACACTATAATATTGGATAGGCGTGGTCAAATTTTTCCATTTTTTGTGCACAAATGCTACAGCGTTTAATATGTATATACATTTTTGTACATTTATTTGTGCCAAATTCGAAGATACCTTCATTTTTGCAGCCAAGGAAATTTTTACATCAGACATTACACAGACGGACAGACGGACATCCTTAGATCGATTTCGAACTGATTAAGATCGATTCGGTGCTGATTGAGTATACTTGAATATACTTTATGGGAACCGTGATGCTGCCTTCCTACCCTTCATCCTGCGTTGATGGATGTAAAAATAGCAGATTTTTTTCACTTATGTTCTTTATACGAGGGAGAGTGGATCTGATGTGATTTTCTTGAATTTCGAAAACTCGAAAAATTCGAATTATGCTGAAAGACGAAAACGGATCACACAATTAGACAGACGGAGAGTTGATTTCAGTTTGATTTTGAGAAAACAAGTCTAAATTAATTAATAAAACGAAAAGCGGTCATATCAGCAAATCATTTTTGACGCTGGATCCAACCGAAGATCACAACTGCATTGGCACTTTAAATAATGACAAATGACGACGTTAAGAAGTCGCCAGCAATAACACTACTTATTTAACGATATTTAATGGATATGCATGCATGTACTTGCTTCGATGTCCTTTTGGGTAAATTTTCATCATTTTATGCAAACAGAGAGTTTTATGAAAGCTAAACCGTATAAATTTTCGGTAAGGCTAATGTTACAAATGCGTATATGATAATATGTGCATACACACACACATTACCGTATATAATATGTGAGATTAAAATTTCACTCACCTTCGGACGGAGCATCATAGCAAAGTGATGACGTCGTTAGATTAGTTAAATTACTTAAATTTGTGCAATTCGTGTGAAAATCGATATTTGTTATATTTAAACTATTTGTTGTTGTGCCCGAAACCGTACTGCTACCGTTGTAATTGTAGAAATATTCGCCAAAGTCTTCTAAGAGTAACATGAAACTGCTGCCACCATTTAAATCATCCCGAAGGATAGTATTAGCGCCGCCAGCGCCGCCAGCGCCAATACCACCACCACCACCGTTTCTTGCATTATAGAGTATCTGATGAAAGGATTCATTTTGGCTGATTATGTTTTCGCTGTTTTTGTTAACTAATGGCTGATTAATTAAATCATTCTTGGCGTGACTATCGCCATCATTGAAAGCAGCCACTGCATCATAATCATTTTCGTCAGCTAAAAGAGTTTCCGCACTATCGATCAAAGCGATATCGTTATTGTCACCGTTATGGCTGACCACAGTACGGACGGCTGATATTCCTGCTGTTAACGATGGTTGTGATGCTGATAATAATAATGGATAGTGAATTGTTGCCGCTGAATTAACTACCGGTAGGTTATCTGTGCCATTAGCGGCCACTGAATTGTTATCTATTGTATCGGTGGTGATGGTAGAAGAAGAATTTCGATTCGAAATGGTCGTGCCAGTCGTTCCAAAATCCAATGTTAGCGTATGATATAAAGTGGAGAGCGGCGATGATGTAAAATGCGATGAATTAGCGGATAATAGAGTTTCGTTGAACCTATTAGATGATTTTGCCCATGTATACGCAGCAATGCCTTCTTCCGGTACTATAAGTCTATTGTCATCTGCAGCAACAAATGCCGTGGCCGTTGTTATGTTTCCTTGATGGCTTGATGTATACCATGGATCCGCTATAAAATTGCCGGCTGGTTCCTCGATGTTGTCGCCAATATTGGTGCTACTGCTGCTTCTATTGTTGTCATTTCTGTTACCCTCATATACACGGAAATAATCTTTCTGTAAAGTGTCGATAATATTAGAATTAGCGGAAGTCAGTGTTGTTGTTACATTAATATCCCCACGGGGCAGCATTTCGTAACGAAGTAAAGAAGCCAGTCTTACAGTTATTGTTTGCTGTTTTCGTAGTTCACTGGCTGGGTTGCTGGCTGGCTGCCTGCCTGCCTGCCTGCCTGGTTGGTTGGTTGGTTGGTTGGTTGATTGCTTGCTTGCTTGCTTGCTTTGTTAGTTCGTTGCTTGGTTGTGGTTTTTTGCACTTTACACTTCCTGTTACTGTCACAATAAATAAACTCACTCCGACTATACGATTATTGCTTTACTATGTATACGCGTGTGTGTATTACTGTTAGCAAGCGTATGGCCTGAACTTTTGTATAAGTTATTGTTGTCTTTGCTATTATTGCTACTGGTGCTGCTGCTGCTGCTGCTGTTGCTGTTACTGTTGCTGCTGCTGTTATTTATGAAATTGAGTTTTTGTGGGAAATTGTTATGCTGCCCGCAACAACAGTTGCTTTTCTGTATATCGAATTGAATGTCATTATCCTGCTGATGATATTGCTCTTGTTACTGCTGTTGCTACCACGACTACCAATTTTACCGCTGTTGCCGTTATTGTTCTTTCTGTTGCTGTTACTGCTGCTAGCCACGCATTTACAAATACTTGCCATGGCACTGCTAGCCAATATAGATACCGTTTGGCTTTTTTTAACGGCTTTAAAGTTCAATCTCATGTAGCAAAGGAATTCGTTTGTCATCTCCGTTCTACTATTCTCTGCACTAGTAGTTGTTAGTAGTTGTTTATGATTTTAGCTTTTCTTTCCTTTTGATTTTTGAGTTTTTTTTTAGCGCTTTTGTTCGAAATTATTCTCGCAAACTGTTCAATACTCATCTCAGTGTGTGTGTGTTTGTGTGTGTGTGTGTGTGTGTGCGTGTATTTGGCTGTGTGTTTGTTTGTGTTTGCGGGTGTGTATGTGTGTTTTAACAGCACAAACAAATATTCGATGTATTTGTGCTTAGTTTCCCCAAAATACTTTGCCACAGCTCCCTAACAGTTTGCATTCGAACTCAATATCAACATCAGTTATGTTTGTTTATCAACATTCTTTTGGTTTATTTCTGGTTTTCTTTTTCTTTTCTTTTTTTTTTTTCTTTTTCTTTTTCTTTTTGTCAAACTCTTTTTGCTTCTAATTCAGATTTTGTGACCCAAATGTTTAATGATGAAACTGCCTGCCACTCTGCCTGGTATTTGTGTTGCAACGGTCTACAATTTTTTCAGTTCATTGATAATTCAAGTTAAGTTGAATGCTGGAGAACAAGTGCTACTGGCATGTCATATATATCATATGACTGATCAAAATTCCAAGTGACACCACTCGATAAATCTTCTGCTTCATCGTTAGCTTTGCCGTCTGCAATGTCCTTGTCATGTCCGCATTATCATCATAACATACTGCAATTGATTTCGTATGACTACTACAAGTCATGAATGTATAAGTTACATGATTTTTGGGTACAAACATATAAACAACTAAATGTAACGGTGGCCGTGGCGATGCTGATGTAGGTGATGGTAATGGTCGAGATGGCCTTACTGGTGCGATGCTTACATTGATGATGACTGTACCAAAGATTTATCGTCCGGGCTTTGTTTGTCTGACTTTAAAACCTGAAAGAAGAAAAACAAAAGTAAAGAAATAAAACAAAATAAATAAAACGGTTACACATAAAACAATGCACAAATAATAAACGGAAAACTGAAGACACCAAGACTAACGAGTCAAACGTGGTAGGTAGATGATAGGCAAAGAGAAAGAGAGAGAGAGGAAGGGAAGAGAAGAGAATACCAACCTAAAGCCAAAGTTGAAGTTGTTGATGCTTTGTTAGTTTTCAATAAATAAAAATTGGAAAAATGACTGGAAAATAAATTCAATTTATTATTTACAAACATTCGCTTGATTATTTTTTACAATTCAACAGCAATTGCTCTCACTTTGGTATGCGTTCCCACAAAATTGTTGATGACAGTTATGTATCTCTCTCTCTCTCTCTCTCTCTCTCTCTCTCT